ATATATATATATATATAATCTCTTAAGATGTGTCTTATGTAATCTTGTCAATATCAGCACAGCTTTAGATTTTAACTGCATTACATTAATGCTGTCTTTAGACTGTGTTGCCTCTTGTCGGCACACTAAAAACCAGTTTACTGGTTAACAGGTTTAGCAGGAAATCAGACAACACCTTCACAGGAAGTGAAGAAACCTTTCAGCACGAGTGTACATTTTTCAAATTGTCAATTGTCCAGCTGTTGAAACATACTTAGACTTACTTTGAGGGGCTATTTTGTGTCTGTTTATACACAAGCTCTGCCATTTGCCTTCAGACTTGCCCTGTCTGAAGTTTTTTGTCATGTGTGATTACCATTCTGGTTGGGTGTATACATGGCCATCACATCAATGTTCTCCAGAAAAAATCTAACTGGGTAGATCAGTTTTCTCTAATCCCCTACTGCGATTATGGAAACTTTACAAACTTTACTAATTTCCAGTAATAGTAATGACTATACCTAAGCATCTTCAGAGTCGGTTCTGTATGAAATAATGCAAATTTAAAAAATACAAAAGCCCATTTACATGCTGTATCTGTGTGCATAAAAAGGACATTTTAACTTTTATACTTAAAAGGCTTATAACTTTATTACGCATATCTTCTCTCATACCTTTTCAATTGCATCAAAACGGACAAAATAGGATACCATATCACTTTTGGGAGACAAATGTTTTGTTGGGCAAAATTTGACCCCCAGGCCAATATTGGACGGCAGCACTCCAGCGAGATCAATGCAAAGCTGAAGGAGTGACAGAGGCAGTTAGATCAGATAACCTCGGTGAAGACAGCCCAGCTGATCTACAAATTAGCTTTGTAGGGTCGGATTGGGTCTCATTGTCTCGAATAGTGTCCACATATGACATTGTCTGTCTCCCTCTCCCCCTCTCCCGCATGATCCAAAAATAAAAATCATTTGCTTCCCTCTCACACAAGGCCACATAAGGCCCTTCCCCTCTCCTCTGGGTTTAATGTAACTGTCATTTGTCTTTAATCCCAGTTCCCCCGCTTGCGCTAAAGCTTAATCTGGCCTATTACAGTTTATGCAGGTCTGCACTGTCAGCATGAGGATGTTGGGGGGGCGGTGGTTGGGATGCAGACATTAGATCATACCATCTGGAGCAAGAAAGACACAAACACAATGAAGTAATCCTTGTTTCCCATGGCCCAAGATATGGTAATGGAGGGAGGAAGATGTTGATAGAAATGTGGTCTGTGGGTAATTTGCGACACAGAGCGAGCCTCTAATTTGTTCAAGCTAGAAAGAGATAATTAGGTGAATAAAATGACTAGTCGGCGTTGGAGGGAGAGAACAAGAGAAAGAGATGATTTGTGCGAACCTCTTCACTCCACACCAACAGTGTGAATTTCACTGGACCATCTCTCTCATTGGTGTCAAATCTCCGAGAGGTGTGTGTGATTTATGCCGCTGCTCATGCATGTCTGTGTACTCGCACCAGTGTGTATTCTTGTATCTGCGCGTGGGTGTTTGTGTCACAGTCCGTGTGTGTTTGCGTCTCGTCACCCTGGAGCCGGTCGTCCTCTCCCTCTGACCCTGATCCCCGTCACCTGTCCGCTCAGATCACACACACACACACACACACACGCACACGCACACACACACACAATTGCTGTGACCCTTTCCTGGAGTTGAAACCCAATCGCAGTTGCCAACCATGTGAAACTTGCCAGCACAGCAAGGTTTTGTTTTCTTTTTGTGGGTGTGCGTATGACTCGAAAGACCTACTGTCTGCTGCTAAGATGAACTGAAGCAATTTTACTCCATGCTACCATACAAAGAGGCTATTAAAATAACTTTATACACTACTGGCCTTGTGGGTTCAAATTAAAGTCACACAGCTAAAGTCAAGGAAGCAGGGGTAAACAATTATTTCATGTTCTTCTGAAGCTGAATATAAGTATGTTACCGAAGGATGAATGTTGTGTGTGGGCCGTTACTGGCTACAGTGTGAAACATTAACCATAGTAAAACGGTGACAATAGGAAAATCAAGACACACTGTCCCAGCGCCTTTACTTTGACCATACAAAAGAGAAGCAGTGTTATCACACTGTGTGCATAGTTTCAATGTTTGGCAGTGGCTCTTACTGCCATGTGCTCATACCCAAATATTAAGCGATATTATGTTACGTCAAATACTACAAGGAAAAGTATCAATTTGAATGTTAAAAGGAAATGCATAAGTGGCAGTCAGAGGTTTAACTACGAGTTTAATAAGACAGAACATGGAAGAAAATTGCAGTTCTTCATGCAGCTTTGCTAAAATTGGACATCACTTATTTGTAATCAGTGCTTTTGCTCTTGAGTTTTTCACAGCTTTTTGTGTATAGAGCAGTGGACCGGTTTGTTTTCCCCCAAATTGTGTTTATGGCTGTCAAATGAGCTTAGAGTGCAGCTTCAAATAATGAGTGATATATATATATTCTTTGCCTTTCTATTCTTTAACAAAAGTCCAACTTGTTTGTGTTTTATTTAGCTGTCAATCAATATTGGCTGTCCAAGTTTCTATCTTAATCTTGCTACCACATTATAATGCAGATTTTGTAACTCCCTACTGGCTCTGTGGAAGTGCAGCATTAGCTCTATAGACAATTCTTTGCTGCCTCATTCAAATCCATAGCCAAATTTAGAGACATTTGGGCCAATATAATCTGGACTAGCCTACCTGCATACAGCATACTAGAAATGGATTGTAGGATTGTATCTGTACTTAATTTTTTTTAAAGCATTGTCTCTCTAAGAGCAATCACGTTGATGAGGTGTGTACAGAGTTACCAAACCTCAATTTCTTTTACTTGTATCACTAATCTGGATGAATGAAACTCAACTATTCTGTGAGATACATGTCTCTCTACCCCTGAAATGTAGAAATGGGCCAGTTAGTGAAACCGAAAATGGAAATAAAACTCTTTGTTGAGACTTTATCTATCTTTATAAGCTTTGAGTATCCTGTGATTATATGTCCCATAGATACAAAGTGTTCAGTACAGCTGGAATGTAAAACCTTTCCTTAGTTTTTGTTCCGGCACATTTTTGCTGTCTCTGATGCTTACATATTGCCTTTTCTCTTCTCAGGAGTCAAAGTCATCTGGCCGTTCCAGCATGCCGCGATGTCGGAACTCCGTCGCCACGACCACATCAGATGACCAGCCGCACATTGGTAACTATCGGTTGCTAAAAACCATCGGCAAAGGCAACTTCGCCAAGGTCAAACTGGC